AATACAGGTAATCATAATACCTCATTTCAGAGATATAGACAGATCTTTTCATTTGTGCCTGTTTTTTAAAATAATGACAAACATTAATATTTGTTATTGTTATTGCAATATTTTGTTATAGTTGCTATTAAGTTTAATGCTTTACGCTTTTAAATCAAAGATACAATCCAAAAATACTTTTACAAAGTTTGTGGGATGGGTTCTTCACACCAAAAAAGGTAAAAGGCCATCGTTGTATTTAACGATGCGATAGGGGAATTTCTACTAATATTTTATTGTCGAAGACATCCTTATGAGCTTATTCAAAGTGAAGAATTAAGATTCATCGAAATGTTAAAATAGGAAAACCGTGACATTTTCACGGGTTAAAACTCGTCTAAATGATTTCTGAGCGTGTTTCGGCTATACATACCATCTATATTAAAGCCTGAAACTTGATAGAGAATGTACAGCAGCAACATCTAGTCTAGTGAGGCCGCGGCCTTATGGTCCACATAAGTGTCTATAGGATTTACATTCATAATATACTGGGTGTATCAAAAATACTTTTACAAACTTTGGGGCGGGTTCCCCACACCAAATCAAGAACAAAAGTTCATGTAAACATATATCCACAAATCCCACATTTCTGAGTCATTAAGTTCAAAGAAAGTTAACGATAGTTGGTGCTGTGTTATTATGTAGACTAGGTTACATTTATCATTCGTGTACATTTGGGGCAAGTCTGTCATCAACGTTTAACGTGTATAGTAGTGTGTAGGCTGACAAATGTTCTGTTTAACAATGACAGGATAATCATATCGTGGACAGGCAGATATATACTGCCGCGCGAAAGGTAATGGATGCGAGCCTGCACGGCTGTATCAGATTGTGTTTCCAGACCAAAGGTACCCGAGTCATCCAAACTTTACTGCTGTTTATCGTCGTGTTGTTGAGACAGAATCCGTGGTACCACAGACTACGTACGCCTGATCACGGAGAACGCATTCTGGGGTTGTCGGAGACGATTCAGGTATCAGTACACGTCAAGTGGCCCTAATCGTATCGAAATATTTGAAAGGGTTTGCTCGTTAACGGGTACATGCGTGTGTAGAAGAAGCAAGCGGAGGAGATTTTGAAAATTCTTTGAGTTGCTGCGTTGAGGTACAATGATGGCCTTTTACCTTGTTTTGGTATTCAGAACCCGTCCCAAAAAGTTTGTAAAAGTATTTTTGGATTGTACCTTTGATTTAAAAGCGTATACCTTAAGCTTTAAACTTAACTCAAAAACAAGGGATTTGCAGAGGTATCTGTCTATATTTCTGAGAAGGTGAATTAACAGGAGATAACTGATAACTGACATCCATTAAACATGGCACGTGGAACTAGAACAGTATACCCCAGCGAGCGAAATAAAGGGTTCAGTTCAACCACCTGAAGAAGGCCGGAGCGTACAACGGCTGAAACGTTGTGATAAATATGGCAACAAAGATGAGGACAATAGTCCTAATAATGTAAATATTAAAAAGATATGTTTATATAGACTTCTGTCCTTGTTTTGGTATGAGGAACCTGCACCTAAAGTTTGTAAAAGTATTTTAGAGGGGTGCAGAATTAATTTCAACTTCACCCTCCGCGAGGCGAATGAGTCCGAACTTTTATTGTCGATAACTCCAAAACAGTAAGTTTTATCAAAATTTCTTTGTTATTTTCGAATAAAGCATGTACATTTACCCCTAAATAGAACTATTCGGGAATTTTTTTTTATTAAACGCTGAGCGCGGGCTTGAATTGCAAATTACCCTTTTGAGATTCCGAGTTGAAATTAGTTCTGTCACCCATTTTTGACACACCCTGTTTACATACTTACACATTATATACATGCATCCAGATATGCATACATCTATAAACCATTTCCCCTTGTTCGAAATTTCCCAAGGGTTATAAAATAACGTACTAGCCATCGAAGATTTTCTTTAACCCTAGAATACTAACCATCAATTAAAGTTACACAACTATTAACCATGGGTATATCATACCCAATTTTGAAAATATCAAAAAAAATATTAAATATAATTCATTATTTGAGATATTTTACATGCAGGCACTTCAAACTTTGTACTTTGAGTTAACATTAATAGGAACTGAAACACATATTATTTAGGTAAGAAAATCAGGTACTGAAAATTGTAATTAAAAATAGGAAAATTTGCGCTGGGTACTATATACCCATGGTTAGTGTTCTAGAGTTAATGAAAAGAGGTTCAGAATATTTTCTTTGACAGGATTAAAGTCGGTTTTTTGAAAGGTACGTTCTTCCATATACAGTGCCTGGAAATTTCTCAGGACTGTTGAGGTTGCTAAATGATTTCAATCGTTTCCTGCGTGTATCCTGTCTGGCTTTTGTTTCTGATTTTCATTTAATCCCAATATTTCCTCGTTACACAATGGATAAATTCTTCTCCCTGTTCGCTGAAAACATGCAGATTTTTTCCCAATTGGACGGTTGGTTGAATGTCAAATTTCTAGCTTCGTTTTGATCCTTGTATTTTTTCTTTGGTCAGTTCGGTAAACAGGATTTGCTACAGAAAACTTTCGCTCTAAACCTGTCCTGTCTATTGAAATGTAGTTTCATGCCTGTATTAATATTCATTTGCTGGACGTTTTCAAGGGCTTGATTGTTACGGTGTCATCCAACGCGATACTTAGGATATTTTTGCTTTAAGGCTCTATAAAACAGTTCATATTTTGCATACAGGGAGCAATGTTCATTTTTTTACTATTGTTCACACAATACAAGGCCAAAGAGCCACTTAAGTTAGAGTGTTACGTAATTAAGATGTTTTATGGGCGTACAAATGGCAGAGAGAGCAAGAAGTGTTTATTATGAGGATATGTAGGATAGACAGCGGCTGATCCTAGACTTTAATATTGTAGTGATCGGGGAAGCATCATCTCGGGAGTCTGAAGAAGCTGTCTGATTGGAACTTCCTCCCGACCAATGGAATACGAAGTCAACTCTGTGTCCTTGGGAAGACAAGTTATAACGGTAACGATTGGGCTGGTGGAAGCAAGGAATGTAGCTCGCTCGACTGATGTTTGATATGCTAAGAGTTGTGATTCATTTGACAGGCCACATTATAGAAATACTCTTCCATCGAGTTTTTTCATGTGCACTGTGAGTAGCATTCAGTCTACTGGAAATTTCGACATTGATATTTGCATGAATGTTCAAAATGTTTTCCTACGTGAGAGAAGCTTTCAATTTGTTTTAGTGGCTGTCTGTGAGGTGAAAAGTTTCTAAGACTTTCTTTCTACTCTTGATTGTTCACACAAGAACTGAGGTAAACTTAAAGACACTTTTTTAAAAATCATTTCACCCCAAGCAAGGCAATAAATCCACTAACACGCAAGAGGTTCCTGAGTGTTACAGAATATGATTAAATAACACTATTAAGGAGAGAGAACAATAAAAGAACCGGAATTAAGAAGACAGAAGATAACAATTGACATTGCATTGAAACTAAAGATCAAAGTTGACAGGGAAGTAAGAGGAGAGTTCCACAAGCGAGAAGTACGAGAGAAGAAACTATTGACAGAACTTACGGTTTCATCTGGCAATTTCAACAGTAAAATGATGAGACCTAACTACCAATCTAGTATTGCACTTAAATTCATAGTCAGGGTAACATAGAGGAAAGTAATATTTATTTTAAATAATACAAAAATATAGCCCAAGGACAAAAGGGGATATCTGGTCTTCTTCCGTCTTATCTTAAATTTAGCTAACCACGATTACTGACTCAAACATACCACAGTATTACGCCAAAACAACACATTCTTACTTATCATTCTTTCTACAGTCACCATAATACCTCAGAGTCTCTCTGTAGTGCTGATTAGTTCCAATTTTATCTTGGGGTGGGGGTAATAAGTAAGAACGTTTAAAAATGAAACCCCAATAAATATTTACAATGAATACAATTCATATACAAGTAACTAAAGTAAATAAAATTCCCCAGAACAATTACCATGAAAGTATTTATAGAAAAGGCAGAGTTATGGCGGCAGGGAAGCGACTGAAGCCGAGATGCCAGGTTAGGAACAATTACTTCTAAAATTTCGCTCACACTGTACACAAGATATGTAAACAATATTTATGTACAAATGTCTGCGTGTTTGTGCATATATGTGAATATATGTTCCTGTGTGTTTGTCTATATTTCTGAGATGAGGTATTATGTACAGTATTTACATTAGTCGGACTATTGTCCTCATTTTTGTCGCCATATTTGTCACAACGTTTCGGCCGTTGTACGCTCTGGCCTTCTTCAGGTGGTTGGAATTTCGAACTGAACCCTTTATTTCGATCGCTGGGGTCTAACTGTTCTACATTCCAATTTTGCCATGTTTGATGGATGTCAGTTATCAGTTATGGCTGGAATTAGAACATTTTCCCCAGCGATCGAAATAAAGGGTTCAGTTCAAATTCCAACCACCTGAAGAAGGCCGGAGCGTACAACGGCCGAAACGTTGTGACAAATATGGCGACAAAGATGAGGACAATAGTCCGACTAATGTAAATAATGTTCCTGTGTGCATGTATGTTTAAGTGAGTGTATATGTATGCATGCATGGATGCCTATGTATGAACATGTGTGCACGTGTTTGTATGTGCGTTTGTGCTTGCGCTGGTGTCTACATGTGTGTGTGTATAAAAGCATTTTATTTTCATAGGTTCACTCTGCCCGCTCAGGGAAGGTCGATACTTGATTAAAAAAAATCTCGTTACGATTTTTTTCTTGTTTTCACACGAGAAACACGGGCCGGCCGGGTTTTACTCTCCGGTCAATAGAGTCATTCTTCTGTGGCTTTTGTCTTTCTATTTCTACTGTTGGGCCAGCCCAAAGTGTCTTTCGGCCGCTTACACTTCGTGAGTCTGAATTATTCATTACAACGAACAGGATTCATAAGCGTGTGGTCATTCGAAGTATCGTCTCGGAACTTTTCCACGTTGCTCAATGAATCCTACGCCCAAATATCTATCTATCTATCTATCTATCTATCTATCTATCTATCTATCTATCTATCTATCTATCTATCTCAGTGTGTTCATATCTATCTATCTATCTATCTATCTATCTATCTATCTATCTATCTATCTATCTATCTACCTCAGTGTGTTCATATGTATGTATGTATGTATGTATGTATGTATCTATCTATCTATCTATCTCATTCTGTTCATATCTATCTATCTATCTCAGTCTGTTCATATGTATGTATATATGTATGTATATCTATCTATCTATCTATCTATCTATCTATCTATCTCAGTCTGTTCATATGTATGTATGTATGTATATATGTATGTATGTATCTATCTATCTATCTATCTATCTCATTCTGTTCATATCTATCTATCTATCTATCTCAGTGTGTTCATATCTATCTATCTATCTATCTATCTATCTATCTATCTATCTATCTATCTCATTCTGTTCATATCTATCTATCTATCTCAGTCTGTTCATATCTATCTATCTATCTATCTATCTATCTATCTCATTCTGTTCATATCTATCTATCTATCTATCTATCTATCTATCTATCTATCTATCTATCTCAGTCTGTTCATATGTATGTATGTATGTATGTATGTATATCTATCTATCTATCTATTTCTGTGCCGTGTCTTTTCAGGGCGTAGGCGATCATGGCTCTCCACACTTCCCTTTACCCCTTGCAGCTCTCAACAAGTTCCTTCACTCTGCTTCCCCCCCTCCCAGACCACGTTTTGTGATCCACTTGCTTAATGCTGCTAGGTATGTCATGCGTTGTTTTCCCTTGTCTCTTTCCCTCTATTCGACCCGTGAGTATCAGATTCTTCAGACCCTCCTTCCTCTTTATGTGTCTCAGGAACTTCAGCTGCCTCTTCTTGATGTTAACTATAAGCCTTCTTCTTGTTTGCATCCTCTCTAAGACCTCATCGTTGCTCACATGTTCGGTCCATGATATCCTTAGCATCGTTCTGTAGATGCACAAAGAAATCCTCCTGTTCTTGCAATACTCTGCCCAGCTTTTGGAATGCATCCTTGGCCATCCCAATACGTCTACGGATCTCAGTGTTGCATTTACCGTCCTCTGTCAGAACGCTTTCCAGATATTTAAACTTCTGTGTGTGCTTGATTCTAGTGTTCCTGACCTGCAAATCGCATTTCAGGCTCATCCTTTTAATGATGACCATCCATTCTGTTTTCTTGTAGTTTATGCTTAGTCCCTTCTTCACACTCTCCGTCGCTACCTTCTGTAGGAGATTTTTTGCTATCAGTACTGTGTCATCTGCGTATCTTATATTGTTAACATTGTGGTCACCAATGCTAAATCCAGGTGAGGTTTCCAATTCTTTCAGAATTGCCTCGCTGAGCAGATCGCGTGAGAAGATGCATCCTTGCCTTACTCCCCTTTCTATTTTTGTATATTCGCTGAACTTATTCCATATACGCATGCATGCTGTTTACTGCTAGTATAGGTTCTTGATTATTCTGATATCTTTCCCGAATATATCAAGGTTGCTGAGCAGTTCCAGCAGATCCTTGTGGTGTACTTTGTAGAACGCCTTTACGTAGTCTATAAAACACAGGTGCATGTTCTTCTGGATTTGTATTGCTCTTTCTGATAACATTCTGAGCATGAATATCGTGTTCCTTGTTCCAGTGTCTTTGACCAACCCGCACTGTTCTTGTCCTATGTATGGCCTGATTCTGCTGCACGTTCTATTCATCAGAATACGGACGATGAGTTTTGTCACGTGACGCATTATATATCTTTCTATCTCAGTCTATTCATATCTATATCTATTACAAAAGTAATTCGTCTTTGCTGCTTGTGGGGGGGCGCATTTAGTCGTACAATGTATGTCCAGAATATTGTTCAACAGACTCTAATGTCATTTCTGCAAAAGGAAGGTGATGTGCTTTTCCAGCAGAAGAATGCCTGCTAACGTGATGACCATATTACTTAACATACTCTACAGAATTTCCTACAACTTCCCTGGTTAGCATGATCAGAAGACTTATACACAACTGAACACATATGTTATATGATATGATGACACTTGAATTGTTCACTGATTGATTTGTTTTTTTTTACGGTTTATCAAGCCTTTTAAGGTTATTTAAAGCCGAAACATTTTTTTTGGGGGGGGGTGTAAGAATAATAATGATTTTTTTGATACAGGTCTTAAATTTAACACATTAATGGGAGAAAAGAGGAGGGTTCATAAATTTCCGTAGAGTATTTGTGCGCAAGTGAATATAATGTACCCGACTGGAATTCGAACTCGGATTTCTTATTCCGAACCGTTATCCATTACACCACCCACACATCCAAGTTTAGAGCACCTGATATCCCCCATCGAGTTACTGACCAGACTTGACGTTGTTTAATCTCGGTGATTGGACCAGAAATCTGTGTTTCAACGTGATATGGCTGTAAGTCTTGAATTGTTCAGTTAACCGACTTAAAAATATTGCTGTATTACGTCAACAAGTGCAACAAGCAAAGGAGTACTGTGGAATGGTATTCGCCATTTGCAAGATCGTTTGCATGCAAGTGTAAATGCATATGTTAATGTCTATAAATGATAATACTGTATTAATATGGATCTGACTATAGCTGAAAAAAATCCTTAATTTCTAACCTGGGCACGTATAGATCTGTATATATGATGGCCATCAGGATTAGGGTCATTAGCATCATGATGGGGTGTAATCTGAGGATAATTTCACAGATGAGCATTTAATCAACCACCTCGACATGTCTCGGCTGATTGGGAAAGTGTGGATTTCTGTGAACGATCTTCCGGTCATCAATGCTGGGAAGATTTTTTTATCTCGTGGCCATACAATTTCAGTTCCCTCATATTGATAGTGATTATGAGATTTTCCATTGGGCCTGTTTCTTGTCTGGTGATATCATCGTCATTTGGGATATCTATCTATCTATCTATCTCAGTCTGTTCATATCTATCTATCTATCTATCTATCTATCTATCTATCTATCTATCTATCTATCTATCTATCTATCTATCTCAGTCTGTTCATATCTATCTATCTATCTATCTCAGTCTGTTCATATCTATCTATCTATCTATCTATCTCAGTCTGTTCATATCTATCTATCTATCTATCTATCTATCTATCTATCTATCTATCTATCTATCTATCTCAGTCTATTCATATCTATCTATCTATCTATCTATCTATCTATCTATTCAAGGCCCTGTGTCGTTTAATATTTCGATGCATTCATGCTCATTCGTATTCGTGTCATTTATATGGAGGCGTTTTCTTTTCTTCCCTCTTCCATGTTTCTCTGTCTCTTGCTTTAAATAAACAAGGTAAATAAATAAACAACTGGGTTTATGAATAATTTCACAAAGCAAAGCAAAGAAAAAAAATGGGGTTAGTGTCATGAAATTGTTAACAGCACTTCTTAAAATAAAATAAAAAGCGACTTCCTTTCACAGCGTCTCGTCCTCCCGGCTGAAAGAATGATCTCATATATTAATGTGCATTTTTATCATCATTTGAAGAGTATATATCAATAGGGTAAGAAATAAAGAAAAGATAAAAGAGATAATGAAAGAAATAGAAAGAAAGAAAGCAGAAATTTAAACAGAAAGGAAAGAAGAGGAAAATCGAAGAAAGAAAAGGAAAAAAAACTCAAAATAAAAAGGAAATAAAAAGGAAAAATCGTGAAAGCTCGAAAACAAGGAACGCGATAAGGAGAGAAAAGATAAAGAAGCATGAAATAAAGGAAGAAAAAAGAAAGAAAAAAAGGAAGTAATAAAGTAAAAAGAAAGAAAAAATTAAGAAACAAAGAATGAAAAAGAAAAAAAAGAAAGAATGAGAAAAAGAAAAAGAAAGAAAGAAAAAAAGAAAGAATGAGAGAAAGAAAAAGAAAGAAAGAAAAAAAGAAAGAATGAGAGAAAGAAAAAGAAAGAAAAAGAAAAAATAAAGAAAAAGAAAGAAAAGATAAAGAGACAAAATTGAAGAAAGAAAAAGTAAGAAAAAACAAAGAAAGAAAAAACAAAGAAAGACAAAAAAGATAATAGTAAGAAAGAAAAAAAGAATAAAGAAAGAAAGAAAGAAAAAAGAAAGAAATCGAAAAGAAAGAAAGAAGAAGGAAAATAAAAGAAGAAAAAAAGAAAAGAAAGAGAAAGAATAAAGAAAGCAAAGAGTAAAAAAATGAAGAAAAAGAAAGAAAAAGTAAAAGAAAGAAAGATAAAGAAAGAATAAAGAAAGGAAAGAGGAAGAAAGAAAAATGGAGAAAGAAAGAAGAGGATAGAAAGAAAAGAAAAAGAAAGAAAGAAGAAAGAAAAATGATAGAAATAAAGCAAGAAAGAGAAAGAAAGAAAGAAAGAAAGAACGAACGAAAAAAGAAAGGTAAGTTAAATAAAGAAAAATGATGAACGAAAGAAAGAAGAAAAAACAAAGAAAGAAAAAACAAAGAAATAGAAAAGAAAGAAAAAGAAAGAAAAAGAAAGTAAAAAAAGAAAGAAAAAGAAAGTAAAAAAAGAAAGAAAGAAAAAGAAAGTAAAAAAGAAAGAAAAAGCTCAAAAAGGGAAATAAAATTATTAATAAAAAGAATTAAAGAGAAAGAAGCTTATAAAAAATGAGAAAATTCGAAACAACAAAATGTTAACATTGATACATTAAATAATAACCTCTCCCACAAATATGGATAATTGTTGGTAAATAAAGTTCCATATCATACATTCAGAAAAGCAAATTCTAATTCCTGTATATCAAGAAAAACATACATAAAAGCAAGCAGCAATAGACCAGCCAAAACAAATATTTCTGTAAAATCTGGTTATTTCTACAAAATAGCAGCAAAATATGCAATTTCATTAATTTCTTTACCCCGGGTGAATTTTTCAGGGATTTTTTTTTTATTGATATCATGTTTGTTCATTTCCAGGAATCCTCGTTTCAGAGCTTTATGCATGCACTGATTCCTGGGGAACCACGCTTTTTTTCATGGTTTTCATATTCCTCTCAGACATGACACTGCTGTATTGAATGCAGGGTATGTTTTTGGCGCATTTTTTCTAAAAAAACAAACAATTCACGTTCAATCGACCGGCAAATACGGAACATCTTGGTTACTAAACGAACTAAAATATCACCGACACAGAACATTATACAGTGAACATTTCAGAAGAAAATTCAGCTAATAGCCACTTGCTACGCACTCCTTGAATCACTCTTGTATTTGCGATAAATTCCTCATATTAGCTGAATGTTTATCACAATATCAATAAGCATAATTAGAAAATAAATATTATGAAATATAAAGTGTAACTTGACTGTTTGGTGATCGTCATTCAAGCTAGAACCATTAAACTCGATAGAAGGCGTGCCATTGCCTGACAATAAAGTCGCTATAATTAACGATCAGGGTCAGTTATTGATAGTTGCAGAGCACGCGAGTGACGACGGGTGAACGACCGGGTTCAAAGAAAGAAAGATGTTTAACAAATAAACCGTAGTTGGAAAAAATAATGTCGGCCACATACATTAATCTGCCACTGTTAGTACCAAAAAGGAATGCAACACGGAGATAAAAAAAATGGTATAGAATTTGAGGAACCTTTATCCGAAATTCCCAAATTCGAAAACATCCAAAGACCGATGGTTTTTTAGATGCTGACATGATTTGCTACAAATGGAAGATTTCAGAAAGCAACATGGCTGCCCATAACATGATTATTGCGTTGCGGCGTTACAAATAAAATGATGACGTTTTTTCTTTTTTTTCGTTTTCATTACATTTAACTGTAATCAGAAACCATGTTTTGTTTTTTATACAAAAACTGTTCCTGTATGTATTGGGACATTTTCATCAAAACACGACATTGTTGGCAGAGACTGACAGCTTATCGGATTTTCCTTCTCAGTGATGTCATCGATGATGCACCCTCTTCCTCCAATTTCTCACACCTGATAAAGAAGTAGTGTTTGGTGTTGGATTTATATATATATATATATATATATATGTGTGTGTGTGTGTGTGTGTGCGTGTGTGTGTGTATGTCTGTGCGTGTGTGTAAAATGTATATATATATATATATATATGTGTGTGTGTGTGTGTGTTTGTGTCTGTGTGTGTGTAAAATGTATATATATATATATATATATATATATATATATATATATATATATATATATATGGAATTTTTTGTATATATTATTTATATATTACATATGCGCGGTACCTTGTCTGACGATCGCAAATAGCGTGAGAACCAGGGTCACAAAGTCACATCAATCCAACTATATATATATATATATATATATATATATTTTGAGTGAAAATTGCATTAAAATCTTTTTTACAGATAACAATGATTTTTCTACAATTTAACCCATATCTAGGGGAGATGAATTATTACCTTTCCCAAGGTTATTTGCCCGTAAGTAACGAATCCAAGTGGAATTCGAACTCTCCAAGAAAGACACTGTTTCCGTGACATGTTCTAAAGAAGACCTATGGATTATCGCACTTGAATTTGCCAAAAAAACCGTCGCTATGAGTCGCTTCTTAAGCCTATAAAAACTATATATAAACCAGCCCGATGTGACGTAGGTTGACCTAAAAGAGAAAATCAAGGCTAGCCCCGTTCAAACGAGCCAAGCTCGCCTCAGTCACCCACCTTTCGCTGAAGACTGTCGAATGGAAGCGTTTTCTATTAGTTCTAATCTTCATATTGAGATGATGCTCAAAGATTCGGATCAGATCCTGATGAGAAAGACAATTGTCTAGCAAGTCTTCCTCCTGTCGCGTTGTCCAAATCCACGTATTTTTCCCCACGATTCGAGAACACCAACTGCTTTTATTCGCGTTTTTCCATTCGTCGACAGCTGGGAGAGGACGCTAAATTTTTGCATATCAAAATACTTTTATAGCGACTCTTGCGACGGACCTTTTTTTTTTAATTTAAATATTCCCTCTTCAGCATGTCATGCGGAATAAGTGCCCTTTTTTTAGGGTAAGTAAGTTTCTTTTTCAACACATTTTCCGTCGTAGGATACACGCGACACACTGTCGCTTGGTTTGATGAGGTAAGTCGCCGTTTTCTTTGCTATACTTCTTTTCTTTCTTTTTATTTCTTTTCTTGTTTGTTTTCTTCATTTCTTTACATTTTATACTTTCTTTCTTTTTTATTATACTGGGACTCTTTGTTTCTTTCTTCCTTCTCAAAAGAAAGAAGGAAAAAGAAGAGCTGAAGAGGTGGAGGAAAAGAGAAAAATGAAAGAATAAAAGAGTAAAAGAGGAATAGAAAGAAGAGTTGGAAATAATGTAAAAGAAAGAGAAAGAAGAGTGAAAAGAAGAGGAAAGAAATAATAGACAAATATTAAGAAAAAGAAAGGAAAAAGCAAAGAAAGTCACGTGAAAAGAGGAAAAATAGTGCAATGTCAAGAAGAAAGAAAGAAAGAAAAGAGTTGGGAACGAAAGAGAAAAAGGAAATAAAAGAAACAGAGAGAGGGAAAACACACATGACAAATACAAAAGGAAACCACCTTTGTGAAATACACAGAAATTTTAAGCATTAACAAACATTTGTTTGAATATATATATATATATATATATATATATATATATATGAAGAAATATAGTTTTAAGGCATGCTATATTTATCAGATAAAGTGCTCAATATTAGAGATAGTGCGTATGTAAATATAAAAGTGAACACTGAAATCAACAGTCAGAGGCGACAGACTGTTTCATGCTAAACACACTCTTCAAGCCACATGCATGAAACAATCTGTTGCTTCTGGAGTGTTGACTTTAATGTTCGATTTTATTTATATATATATATATATATATATATATATATATATATATATATATATCAGTGGATATTGATGTCAACACCCTCGTGTAGTGATAGTCTGTTCATGATTGAACGTAATTTTTATACTGGTGTTGACCTCAGTGTCCACTTTTATATTTGCAGTCGCTCTATCCCTGATAGTGAGGACTTTTAAATAATATAGAATACCTTTCAAGGTATATATATATATATATATATATATATATATATATATATATATATATATTTCTTAATATATATTAAATAGATCTGTTAATTTACATTGGGCACTTTTTCTTACACTATAGAGTATTTATATGTATTTGTATACAATCGCTCTTTTGTATACCTACCAATATTTACCCATTCTATATATATATATATATATATATATATATATATATATATATATATATATATATATATATATAATATTATCAGAAATAATTTAAATTCAGAAAACTTAACGAAGATCGACTCAGATAATAGGTAGCATTATTATTATTATTATTATTATTATTATTATTATTATTCCATGAAAATAATTAGCAAAAATCAAAAAAAGAACAAATAATGCATTATTTTCTCCCCTTTGTTTTTATTCTCTGAATATTCCAGTGTTTTATACGGACATCCTGTGAAAAGAGTAGTGACACATGGTCTGAAGATCGTCGAGATGTGAAACTGAGAGTCACCTGAGAGCGTTGATTTCTAAACTTACATTATCTATCTATCTATCTATCTGTGTCATAATAAAGAGAATTAAAATTTCAATTACCTTTTCCCCTCACTTACATATATATTAACTGTTTCATCACAGCATAAATGCACACTGTTTCATGATTGTTTACGGACGAAGTGACGCAATCCATATTCAACACGTACTCTTCTACAGATACACTGTTGCCAGTTCATATAACGAGAGCTCAATGACTCACTACTTAAAATTACATTTAGGAAATGAACGGGAGCCACTCCTTTTATCTGTCAGCAAACGTCGATCAAATTCGGTCTCAAGTGGCATTTCTTGTGGATCACCTTCACTTCTGGATGCCAACGGCTATTGGAACAAGCTGAGCATCGTGAAGTACCTTCTCAACAATTCCTCTCGACCCTCTGAATAATCACAGGCGTCTCATCAAACTCATTCGGGTGGCCTCTTTACAGTTGTCTTTTTTTCTATTTCTAAATAAGAACTTTGTTGTACACAAAAGACCCCCAGAAAAATAGAACAAGAAACTAAGAAAGAAGCCCTTCCCATTAGAGAGGCATATGCTTGACTCATGTAACACAGTTGCCGTCCAAACTCACATTGGAACGCACAATACAGCCATACAAAAGCTGACAAGATCATACAACGCCCACTATTAGCACATAAAAAAGGACAGGAAGAAAAGTATATACAAACATATATATATATATATATATATATATATATATATATATATATATATATATATATATATATATATATATATATATATATATATATATATATGCGGCACGCACTCTCCGTAGAGTAATGGTTAGCGCCACTCCTACCAGACCATTACAACGGGAACGTGTTCGATTCTCTCATCCGGTAACTAATAAATACGGCGTTGTACCAAACCAAAGCTATGAGCAAAAATAACATTTGCATATCCTCGCGTTTAAATGTAAACAATTTTAATATATATATATATTGTTTATACGTTATTTTTATAGATACAAATATTTAAGTAAACACTTTTTTCATGGAAAACATGTGTCCCCTGACAGGAATCGAACCTGTATCCTACACGGAACCGGCATATAGCTTGACGTGAATTGCCATTTAGCTACAGAAGAAGCGTCTGGTTAGTAAGGTCGAATTACTGCTTTTAAACTACAAATTTCCCATGATTTCTTTCGAACGCTCATATCTGCTCGAACAGTTGCATCTTCTGCAGCTAAATGGTGTGTTTCTACATGTATAGCATAACCATATCTGTAATTATATCGGTAAATATATACGAATATTACTTTGGTATATGTTCACCTTAACACACACACACACACACACACACACACATATATATATATATATATATATATATATATATATATATATATATATATATCGGGTACAACAGCAAAATTGTCCAAATCGTGTAGCAACATGGGATAATTGTCCATCCCACAAAATGTTTAATATCTAAACAACTACAAAACTAAGTTTCTTTTTCCGAGGTTTTTGGAAAAGACTTTGTTGTAAGAATCCCTGAAAAGCCCTTCAGCTAGAAAGAGAACAGGTTAAAATCATTTTGTGTCAGCCCCACTGTCTTCCCAAATGAGCAATGGTGAGAGGAAAAAAATTGTTCAGGCTTTCAGTAATAGTACCGACATTCTGACTTCCAACTTCAAAGCTCATTCAAGAATGATCAAGATAACGTTGAATAATTTTAAAAAAGAGGGAACAGAGTAGAGGAAAATTGGATCTGGAAGTCACAACAGCAAGAAGGATCATCGTATCAACTTAGACGTAAAGAGATCAATTAGAAAAGAGCAAATTCAACCCTTAAGACGTGAGAGAGAAGTTTCAGCTATGACAGTCCAAAGATCAGTGAAAAAAGACTTGAAAATGAAATCATACGTGAAACGTGTGAGGCACCTTGTTACTCGAGGACAGAAAGTTAGAACGTTAGAGTGGTTGAAGATCATCTTGAATAATTTGGAAAATAATCATGGAATAATCAATCGTTCATTAGCTTCCGATCCTTATTTATGATTATTTCCTCACAATTCTTCTCTTAAACTTCAAGAGTAATTATACATTCTTGTTGCTCAAAGTGGAGTCAAATAGTGTCATAAAAACCTCGGAGAATCCCAATAAGATATCTTTAAACATTTCTAAGATACAACTAGAACCGTTGTATCTTAATCTAACAAGTTTTTTGTGGTACAGAATTTAATAATAGCTAAGAAAAGGCAAAATTTAAAAGGCATTTAAAAAAAAAAAACAAAAAAAAAAAAAAAAAGAACAACTGGTTTCGTCCCAGGACTGATCAAGTTTATTTTTCGGTGAATAGAAAATTTATAAAAGCGTGTAAATCAAATTAACGAATGGAATGGAAAAAAAAATGAATTTTCAAGAAACTAGAGTCCAGTAACATTCAAACCCAGTAAGCATTCCCTCTGTTTACAAAGGGAATGCTCACTACCAGGAAGAGCCAACTAAACATTACTTCTGACCCTGCTATTGCTGAGCATGTAATAAATAGTAGGAAATGTGTGGTTAATTTTAGTGGGGACCGTTTTTTGATTTTATCTAGGTCCCACTCCACATTTCACCTCAAGGTTCTAGAGTCCTTGAATATCAGATCCCGTGGGCCTTCCCTTTGTAAACAGGAAATGATTACTGGATATGAATATTTTTGGACTCTTATTGGTTTATTGAAATTCATATTTTTTTTCTCTTCCATTCCATTCCATACGTTAATTTAATTAACACGCTTTTAAAAATTTTCTATTCACAGAAAAATAAACTTGATAAGTCCTGGGACGAAACCGGTTATTTTTTTTTTTTAGTTTTTTTCTTTAAAAAAATGCCTTATAAATTTTGCCTTATAAATTTTGCGTGGCATCGTGCAGAGTCCAGTTGCTAGACATAGTGTCTCCCAGTAGACACCGTCTTCACCCAAGGGCAACAATACCTCCTCATAGGCTCCGTGTTGAGTCTGATGCCCTGTGGAAAGATGAATGGAGCCATAACGTTGTCATCAATATTGATCACTCCAAACACATTCGTAATCTCATTAGGCTCATCGAACTCTTTTCGCATCCTCTGCACTGTCAAACACACAAACACTCTGAAATGTCCACATTGGAGCCTCCCGGGGCGAATGTTACTTAGTGCAGCATGCCGGTTCCAAATTTCTAGCCGAGTCTTCTTTTTCTCAGAGACGGCGCCCAGCTGACCCTACTATAAAGTGCAATCGTCAAATTCAAAAACAAACAATGTGCACGCAGGAAATTAAAAATATAAAATGGCGACAATTTATCCATCGCATACGCGCGTGTGTGTGCGCGCGCGCTCACACAACACACACACACACATGTTTAATATTCATTGATTGATAATGATGCTCTGTCTTCGGCATAGAGCTCTCCCTGGACCTTTATCCTCTTGGAAATTCCATACAGATTACTATATATATATATATATATATATATTGATAATATTAGTGGTCAATATATATATATATATATATATATATATATATAAATTCCCTAAATTAAATTTTTTTTTGAATTTGTAGGTCTGATGAATTGGATCGTGATTACGATTCTAATGTAATAAATTATAACTCTGGAATATTAGTATTTGAGCTTTTATATATATATATATATATATATATATATATATATATATATATATATATATATATATATATATATATATACGTCGTTTAACCTTATTAGTCGTTTTAATAGATAAAATGATGATATTTACACTACTTAAAACTTATAAAATCTGTTAAAATTCATAAAATTGGCGCGCCAGCGTTAGAATAGAATGCTGTCTACTATACTTTATGAATATACATAAAGTATAGAAGCCCCTGCAACGATGACCTGGTAGTTTTAGGATCTTTACAAGATTTAAGAATTTTCTGGTTATATGTCAGGTTTTTGAAACTGTAAGAAAGTATAATTCAAATTTATAATTATAGAATGCGTGCAATATTTTTTTAAAAGAGAAATGTTTGAAATAATGGCATTTTAAGGACGACTAAATGAAAAAGACAACATCAATTTGAAACGCACGATCCATATTTTGAAACAAGTTTCGAAAGCCGTTCATCCATTGATTTTGGGACAGCTTGTATTTCTTCATATGAAAAATACTCTTCTGTATCCAGAAGAGAATTCCAAAGTTCAACTGACAAATTCTTTCCCCCCAGAATACGCCACAATATGTCCGTCAAGTTAAAGTCTGTCACTTCAAATGATTTCTTCATTTTATTCAGATCTATTTATTTCGTTGAATCTGATGGTCCGTTCGAATTCATAAAAATGATTTATTTTTCAGGTCACGTTGAACGTATAACTGGTAACTAAATACTACCTGCTGCACGGCCAGGGCATCAGTGACCAAACCGGTACCCCCTCCTGGTAAGAAGATTAACTGAACACTCCTGGCAGATTAAAAACAGGACCAGCCAAAGGGAAGATGAAAGCTTCTTATAAGGTCAACGGATATCTATCACGATACATTAGACTATGCGCCATAAGTATATATGCAGCCAATGCCGTGACAACAACATCGCTGGGTGGAGGGCTTCCAAAACCAATGGTCAACTTGTAGGGTTCCCCTTGATGGAATCAACGGCCAGGTGTCCATGACCAATGTGAGCCTTCAGCTTGAAGGACACCGGCTGTGGTTTGACCCAGATATGTAAAGAGAATTGGTGAAGTGCTCAGCTGCGCAGTGACCCTACGACCATATTCGGTGTTAGGACTAATGTTGATGATGACTTTCTGAGAATGTTTACCTTCTTGAAATGAAGCTTCACACGTCTTTGGAATGTCGTTCTATGTTCCTGATATCATCTTATATCCAACAATAACTCTTTATTGAATTACTGCTTCTCCATAGTTAATCTCATCCAAGACGTCGGTAATCGTGTCTCTCCACAACTTCCGATCTTTTTTAGCAGTTTTTATCTTTTTACTACCCTTACCCACTCCCTGTAAGGTAGGTTACACGCTGTTTCACTCTGCAGCTCTTGCCTTCAATATGTCTTGTTTATATGCTCCGTCTGCGATATTCTCAGCATCCTTCTGTAGAACCACATATCTGTTGCCTCCAATTTTCTTTTCATCTGTGAGGTGATTGGCCAACATTCACTGCCATATGGGTAGATTAATATTAGATAAGCAGCTTTGAGCTCTTTTGTTTGTCACGATAATTTCCTGTTTCTTAATACTTTGTTTAGCTATTGGAAGGCATAAGTTGTATAATTTCTTCTATCCTTCTGTTACATCGAGTGTAAACATGAA